CCTCTCTTCCCCAGGGTGGCGTCGAGGACCAGAAAGAATACGGGGTATGATATGAAAGAGGGCTTCACAGACTCTCGCCTTCTCCAATACTTGCGCCGTGGTGGTTGTATCTGCCGACGGAAGTCCCGCTATTCCGTCAAATATGCACTGATCACCGCTCAAGGTCCGGTTCGGCAGTCACATTTGTGGCCATCATGCACCTCGTCACAGACCACATCTATCCCTGTCCCTGGCCACCGATAACTCTCACAGCTGCTCCCGAACGGTGTACAACGGTGCTCCATACCGGCTCCTACTCCAGTGACGACGGAAGCGATCATGTCCAAAATTCCACTGCGACCTCGTTTTTTGCGGGGAACATCAGCTGCCACGAGTGCGAAAAGCTCGTGCTCGCTCACACCGTTGATCACTGCCGTAATGCATCCAGGGACCCAATTCATCTGGCAGATCAACTACCATGCGCCTGGGTCAGGGTAGCGTCGAGACATCCCAATAAAAAGGGCAGGGTCCCCCCGATGTGAACCCGCTGGCTTTTACTTCCCAGCTCCTCTTCCTCTCCGATCTCCCTGCTGAGTTTTGAACTGCTGTGCAATAATACCTTTAGGGCTCCGTCCCAGCCTTGCAAGCATGGATTCCAAAGAGATCACCGAGAAGCCTATCGCAGGTGTCACTCCTCCGGACGCTGTACACTCAGCCTCCTCCAAAACATCAACCAGCGATGAGAAGCCCACCGTCACCACCGCTGAAGAGATCTCCTCTGACAAGCACAACGAGATCAATGCCCACTATGACCCTTCTGCCGCCCCTCGCTATACCAAGGAAGAGGAAAATGCTGTCATCCGCAAGCTGGACTGGCATCTGATGCCACTGATTTTTGTCCTGTACTCCCTGTCCGTCCTGGACCGCTCCAATCTGGGTAATGCCAGAATTTCTGGAATGGAGGACGACATTGACCTCAGTGGGAAGCGGTATGACTGGTTGGGAACTGCATTTTACATCAGCTGTGAGTTTTCCCGCTTCTTCTTGCGTTTGGGCAACCACAACGACAACCACTTGAAGCCATTGACTAACATGGTATTACACAGATATCCTCTCACAATGGACGCAAATGGGCTGGAAAGCCTTTCCACCTCATGCCTGGGTCGCCTTCGTCGTTTTCGGGTGGGGGGTGGTTTCCACTATGCAAGCAGCGTGTTCATCCTGGGCTGGTGTGATGGTTTGTCGAGTCATTCTCGCCATCTTTGAAGCTGCCTATGGCCCTGGCGTCCCGTTATATCTCTCCTTTTTTTACCCGCGCGAAAAGCTCGGTCTGCGAACCGGAATCTTCTTGAGTGGCTCTGCCGCCGCCAACGCCTACGGAAGTGCACTCGCGTACGGCATTTCTCAAGCCAAGGCATCCATCGGGCCCTGGCGCATCCTGTTCATTGTTGAGGGTGCTCCTACATGTCTACTGGCAATCGTGGCGTGGTTCTGGCTTCCAGACTCGCCCGCCCACTGCAAGTTCCTGTCGGAGAGAGACAAGGCGATTGCAATAGATTTATCCTTGAGACAACCTGGAGACAGGACAGGGAAGAAAGGTCTGCAGTGGAAACAGGTATTGGGCGGGTTGATGGATTATCGATGTGAGTTTTCTCCTTTCGTGAGGTTTCTGTTGCCCACCAAGAGTATTTGATGTCCCTACACATGTTCATCCCTCCACTCTCTGGGAAGCTACACAAGAGACATGCAGCCTCGCCCCCCCTCTCCCTGGTTCTCATGGTGTTGCCCGATTAAACAAAACACGGTCCTTCATTTTGCAGAGCATGATTTCGGGAAGAAAAAGGGCCAAGACTGACATACTTACTCACAGCCTACCTTCCTCCTCTGATGTACTTCGGCTGCAATGTCTGTTTCGCCTCTCTACCGCTCTTCGTCCCAACTATCATCAGCGAAATGGGTGCCTTCTCCACCATCCAATCCAACGGCCTCTCGGCTCCACCATATGTATTCTGCTTCCTCGCAATTTGCGGCACAGCCTTTATCTCTGACCGCCTTAACATGCGTGGCATTTTCGTCGCCATCCCTGCATTGATTGCTGCGATCGGGTACATCATTCTGGGCACTACCTCCGGGGTGGCACCGAGGTATTTCGGTCTTTTCCTGGCTGTCCTCATCTTTGTCTCGGTGGCAATGACGTTGACATGGGTTGGCAACACCCATGCCACGGACAGTAAGCGCGCTGTAGCGTTAGCTATCCTGGCGACGGGTGGTCAGTGTGGTCCCGTATTGGGCACTAACATCTTCCCAAAGAGCGACGCCCCTTATTACCGCAAGGGCATGTGGATCTCGTGTGGTGCGTGCCTGATCGTGGTGGTCACCAGCGTGATGCAGATGGGACTGCTGATCCAAGCCAACCGGAAGCGGGACAAGAAGTACGGCCGCGACAGGGAGACCGTGCACCTCGAGGAGCCCGGTGAGTTTGGCGATGACAAGCAGTTTAGATACGTGGTTTAAAAGGCAGGGGTGTGAGGAGATGGTCATTTGTAAGAATGAACTTGACCACGGAGCATTCAAGAGTTCTCAGGAGGGAACAGGTGAAGATGGAGAGGGTAAAGGCAAGTCATCGTCACCGGTCACACTGGAGACGTGACTGTTGTGTGCCACTTTGAGGGATTCAATGAGTCTGAAAACCCCAAAACACATATTTTAAACAGTGATTGATCCGAACAGTCACGACAACAAGGTCCACAAGAACTATGACATTCACTGCAAATGTTGCGATCCTAATAATGGGAATAAGCCTACATGCCTCATTGTCGCTTGTACAAGTAGCGTACGAGGTACAGTACTCGCCAGCCGCGCCTGCGCATACTGATGTACGAGGTACGTACCTCGTACTCAGTACTGTCTCGCCGTGTATCTAAAATTGTTGCTCGATCTATGGTTTAGGCGGCAAGGTGGGCCAGCCGTTTTGGGCATGGTCCTAGTCCGCACGCCGCTATTACTTTTGGCGGACGATAAGAAGTCTGATATATACCATTCTTCATCTGTTCCGTCACGCTTCAACAAACGTCGCGCTCTCCCTCAGATTTCCGTAGGCCGGGTCACTCACGGTTGGACGTGTGTTCTAGCGGTATCGGTATCTGTTCGGAAACACAATGACACTAGGTTTCCAGTCCTTTGATTATCGATTTCCCTCTATTGAAATAGGTTCCAACGGCACACGGTTTCATCCTCCAAATGAGCTTGAGACCCCCGACTCCCTCTTCACACCGGGGTATCCGTTCGCTGCTACCATACCGTCGCTCCGCTGGCTTCGCCGCACAAATAACCGCGAGTGCCTTATTTTTGCTGACGGCGCTTGCCTTGGGAATGGCACCGACCAAGCAAGGGCTGGCTGTGCGTTCGTCTTCCACCCTAGTACCACGAACTCTCCCGCCGGGCATACGTTGTTCAGACTAGAGCTCAATGGCCCACAAGGGACGCGTGAGCCGCAAACAAGCAACCGTGCCGAGCTACGAGCCACTATTGCAATTCTCCAGTTTCGTGCCTGGGTTGGCGAGGGCATCCAAAGACTTGTCATTGCGACCGACTCTTCATACGTGGTTGACTGCGCTACGCAGAGAATTCATTCCTGGCAGAATAACGGGTGGAGGACATCGAGGGGTGAACCAGTCAAGAACCGAGATCTTTGGGAGTTGTACCTGGCAGAACTACAGCACGTTAGCGACTCAGGATTACAAGTTCTCTTCTGGAAAATTCCAAGAGAATGGAACACCACAGCTGACGCACTGGCAAAACAAGCTGCCACTATGACTGATGAAGAACAATTTTCGAAAATCCTTGGCCTTGCTTGTTAGCACCCCGTGGCCAGACCATTACTTGAAGGGGTGGAGAGTCGCTTCATGGACTTCAAACATCTTCCAGCCTCCTAGCGATCACCCGACATTCACGAATAAAAGGTGAGAAACCCGAAGAATAAACGATATTGTCTAATGTCGTGACAGAAGCTCAAGGGGGGACGATCAAGGGCGGGGGTATTGTGTGAGAATAAGATCCTCCCCGTAGTGGTCCATGAAAGAAAAGGCTCGAACAGATAGATAGACAGACAGACGACGGATCGCCATTCTCAAAACTCGTGTGGTGCGCGCATTGGCGCTGGCGTGATACCGCAACATTACCTCGTTTAGCACTCAGGGTGGCGCAGGTGAAATACATAGTATCCACGAGTTCTTGTAATGAGGAGGTTCGATTTTATCGGGTTCCAGGTTACACCCTTCGACCCTCGACCTTGAACCTTGCACCTCAGCCGCATGGTGGCATGGGTGTGCGTCGCCGAATAGATCCTGATAGATATCAATATCACCATTTTTGAGACTGTCGCCACCGTGGAATTACAGTTTTCTTTCCTCCGTATTAGCCAGAGTCCGTGTTGAGCTGGACAAGTCGTCAACGTTGAGGGATTATCTGTCAGCGTCGTTGTGGCTTTCTTGGTGATCGAAAGAGGGGGGGGGGCAGAGGAACCAGTCTGGAAGCTGGCGGCGGGTGTCAGTGGAAGTTTTGTTGTTGAATCTACTCTAACTGGGGAACGAGGGTATCTCAAAAATCTCAAACCGACGGAAATGGCTCTAGGTGCTGTCGTTAGTAGCTTCAACCAAAGGAAACGAGGCCCCTTGCTCAATGACGGTGATGTTCCATTGGCGTAGAAACTCGGGCAACCTCCTCTTCTGTTGTAGAAACCAATTTCGAACTTGAGAAAAGTAAAAGCGAAAAAGACATAATGAGTCTCTCAACCCGGACATGATCGTCTTTGAAACTGTACAAGTTTTACTACATCGTAGGTAGTCTCTGAAGATGTTGCGCGCGAAGCTAATGAAGGGATACAGGTGCGAGTCCCCTCATTCTGGCTTCCTCTGGTCCGAAACACACCCTGCGACTCTCCTATTCCATTTTCCCAACCACCAATGCACAAGCTTTATGACCAGCTCTTCCCCTTTTCTCTCCATCTTTCACAACATCGCCTATGGGTTGTGGTATGGGCTGTCACTGTTTTCGGGGTAGAGGTCTTCTTTCAGGTTAATTCCGAGCTCTTCGCGCAGAGGTTTCAGTTCCTCTAGGTATTCCTGATATTGTTGAATGTTCTCGACCTTTGCTTTGATGCCTGTTATTGCGAATATTAGACCCGACTGCCTTCTCGAAAGAAATTCTCCGCAACGGACCTTCAAATATTCTCACAGCAGTAGGGAAATCGTTGACACGTCTGGCAGCTTTCAAAGCAGCTGTCACAACCCCGGGAGAAGGGACGAGATCGTAGGCAAAGGCATTGTTGAGGTTTCGCTGTTTATCTAGATTAGACCAAACAATATATAATTCAGAGCTTGCCATTCTTACCTGAAGCTCAAAGACATCCTGCACAGCATCAAATTCCTTCTCATATCTGTAACAGAACTCGTCAGCCAAGCTCTTATAGCCAATGTGTTTTGCAGCAGCACCAAATAGTGCTTCGACGACCAGTGTACCCCAGACCAAGCTCCATCGGGACCGTACCTCGCAGAGAATTCTTCGAACGTTTCGTCTTCGTGGCCGGCGCTTCTCTGGATGGCCGAAGAGCTGAATGGGGACCTTGCGGAAAACGATTGAGTGACAGCTGGAGCTCTCTTGAATGACCGGGTGCAGGGTCTGAGGAAGGCGGAAGTGGCGGGACGAGCTGTGAGACGAAACATGGCGAGAGATGCCATTGTGCAGTGGGCAAAGTAGAGCACAGGGCGGTTGCGTAGAGTGGTAGAGTGAGAGAAGGTGGACCAGATGTTGTGTTCAAGGTCTGGGCGGATGTCGATTGAGGTTCTTCAGTCACCTGAGATTTGCTTGCCCAGGCAGGATAATCGGAGAGCTCCTGAGTGGTTGAAATGACGAACGTCAGCCAAGTCGGACACGTATTTGTGCGTGGTATTTGGGCTGTAATGTGACTGACAAGGGCTGTATTGTAAATCACAGGTATCTGATTGGTTGTGATGCCTCTACCACTCCCAAAAGGACCATCTATATTCGCCAGTTGCCTCAATTGATACGTATGGTAGCTGGCAATGATATTAAGTCCACTGCATCCACCCTCTCCCGTGCTCATACCCTTTACTTCTTCTCTCTCCCGAGTTTGGCGCATAGACGGGTAAAGGGACACGGTATCAATTTTTCCTCCAATCAGGTCTTTTCCGCGGCTCCCGTTTCTAACACGGCAGACGCGCGACAATCGCACAAGTTTCTCCCTCGGCGGAAATTGAAACCAGGTACACAACCAATGGGAAGGTGCGGCTGCAGCGGGCCTTGGCTATTACGACAGAGGCTGCGCGCATCTCAACAAACGAGTTTCCCCTGATTTTTTGATTATCCCATAGTTGGCTTCCTTCTGGCACCCATTGGCACCATTGGCACCATTGGGCACTCTCTGTTGGGACATTTCCATTTTCACTCATCCCTCTTCTTCGTCCTGCAATTTTCCCATTGCAACCGCCGCCACTGTCCGCGCTGCCGGCTTGAAAAAATATATCTCACTCCCTTCCACCTCCTTCCGATTGACCACTACTTCATCTCTCTTCGCGTTCGCCTCTGCTTTTTGTCTTTTTCTTCTCCTTCACACCCTCTTTAGTTGATTGTTTTGAGTCACTCCTTCCCTCTCGATTCGGCGCCCGCGTTTACGCCCTCTCGGTCCGTCCCTCACCTGCGACTGCGAAATCGACGAATTCTTTCAACATGTCGGACGATATTCTCAAGTCTATTCCCCTTCCTACGCTCGATCGCCCCTTCGGCATCGAGCTATGGCCTATCTTCGACAAGGCCTATTCCGCAGTCCTTGGCTATTCGCCCATGGACTTCAAATTTGAATCCGGCAAGACACCCATGTCAACATTGCCAGAGACTGTGGTCGCCTTGATCTCGTACTATGTTATTATTTTTGGCGGAAGAGAATTGATGAAGCACCGCCAGCCATTCACGCTCAACGGTGCTTTCATGGTCCATAACCTCTACCTCACCATCATCAGCGGTTGTCTGTTGGTGCTGTTCGTTGAACAGCTGCTCCCTACTCTTGTGCGGGGTGGTGTATTCCACGCCATTTGCAGCTACAATGGAGGTTGGACGCAAGAATTGGTTGTACTCTACTATGTGAGTCTGCCTGTCTGACTATTAAGCTGGCGACACTTTCTAATTTACGCAGTTGAACTACCTCACCAAATATCTCGAACTCATTGACACGTTGTTTTTGGTCCTCAAGAAGAAGCCTCTGACCTTCCTCCACACCTATCACCACGGTGCGACTGCGCTTCTCTGCTACACTCAGCTTATTGGGCATACTGCGGTGTCATGGGTCCCTATTACGCTGAACTTGATGGTGCACGTGGTCATGTACTGGTAAGGGAAATTTGCGCGCAAAATTGTGTACGCGGCTGACAATTTTCTAGGTACTATTTCCAATCAGCTCGCGGTATCAGAATCTGGTGGAAAAAGTACATCACCATCATGCAAATCATCCAATTCGTCATTGATCTTGGTTTTGTTTACTTCGCGTCGTACACCTACTTCGCCAACTCCTACTTCTCCTGGCTGCCGAATGCAGGCACCTGCGCAGGCGAGGAATTTGCAGCCATTGCCGGCCTTGTCATTCTGAGCTCTTACTTGTTGCTCTTCATCTCATTCTACTTCGCAACCTACCGAAAGCAAGCCATTCAAGGACGACCGAGAAGGAACACTGGCAGAGAAGCTTTGATCGCTATGAGGGATCTTCCCCTTCCTGACCCACACAAGGTTCCATCGGCGCTTGGAGATGAGAAGAAGAGCAATGGTGCCATCACCACCGGCCGATCGAATGGTCCAACCACCCGATCGCGAAAGGCTTAGACAGGCGAAGCGTACAATCCTTTTCGAAGGATAGACCTTCAATGTCTAATGTAGGAGCAGTGTCCGAGAGAAGACAACGAAAAAATTCAATTGAGTTGCAGGAAATCAGCCAACAGCTGGTTTTTTTCTTATTGGACAACTGAACCTGGCGGCAAAGGGGTGGCCGCCTATTACATATTGACGTCAAGCATGACTCGAGTCTAGTCGGGGGATATGCCAGGGCCGACTCGGAGCCGAGCAGATCGAGGGGATCTGCTGGAAACCTGGCAGAGGAGAGTGTACAAAAGTTTGCTGTTTGCTGCCTCGTTGATGACGGAGAGAAGGGGTCTCGGGATTTTCCTGTTCAAGACTTGGTGGATGCCAGAAGGGTAGGACCACCGTTTCTCTTTTTTTCTTTTTGCACTGTGTAATTAGCTGGTACTCGCTATTAATGCACGAATTCTAATGCGGACGACAAAAGGGCTCGTTAGTAGAACTTGATATAGTTTGCAAGAAGGGAATAAAAATTTGAAAACTTGAGATTGACGTGCTGCAGCCCTCACTCTAGCTGTCTCGGAACAGTCTTGCTTTGAAACGCGAGCATGTAGAAGTCTCAATTTATGTGTCTATCCATATATCTGAGGATGTCTATTGTTTCACAAGCGGCGGAGATCAGGCTTCAATTGAGCCATGCATAGCAGAGAGGTGCATTTATCTCAGTCAATTACCCCTTTTCCCGTGAGCACGCCAACGCCAATGTACAACAAGGAATGAAGCGTGAAATTCAGACACGATCCTCAATCCTGGCATTGTGTCAGAGGCCTCCTATCTATCCAACCCATCTCCTCGCACTCTGGAATAATCTCAACCACGGCCCGTACTCGCCCCAGTCGCCCCATGCGTCCTTCTCTCCTTTGAGGGCGTGGTCGGGGATGTAGCTGCCCACGCCGGCCAAGATGGTACGTTCGGGATGAGGCATCAGCGCCAGGACACGTCCATCCTGGCTCCGCACGCCAGCAATGCCCGCGGGACTCCCGTTCGGGTTAGCTGGGTAAGCCGTCGTGGGCTGCAGGGATTTGTTGTCGACGTACCGGATGGGTGCGAGGTTGGCGTACGCGAAGTCGTGAGCGAGAGAGGCGTCCCAGGTCTTGTCGCCCGTGTGCGGCGATGGGAGATCGGTGGTGAACGACGCGCGCCCTTCACCGTGTGCGACGGCGATGGGGAATGAAGACCCGCTCATGCCGTGGAAGAAGACGCTGGGAGCCATGCCGGATTCCGCCGGGGGGTCCGACACTTTGACCATGCAGACTCGGGCCTCGTACTGTTCGGATTCGTTTCGCTCAAAGGAAGGCCATTTGTCTGCGCCGGGAATCAACTCTTTGAGTTTGGAGAGGACCTGACATCCGTTGCAGACGCCGAGCGCGAACGTGTCCTTCCTTTCGAAGAAGGTCTGGAATTTCTGGCGTGTTGTGGGGTGGAAGAGGATGGATTTCGCCCAACCCTGGCCTGCACCAAGGCAGTCGCCAAAGCTGAAACCGCCGCAGAGAGCAAGACCCACGAAGGAAGAGAGATCATGGTCGATACCAAGATGTGACTGGTGTGGTTTGGGGTCCAGAATGTCGGACATGTGGACGTCTATCGCAGTAAATCCGGCGGCTTCGAAAGCGAATGCCATTTCCGCGTGGCCGTTGGTGCCCTGATCTCGCAAAATGGCAACTCGTGGTCGAGCGGTGGGACGCACGTAATTGAGTAACGACGCTTTGTATGTGTTGATATTCTCCTTGGGGTCGAAGCTAAGATTATAGCTCAACCCTGGTTCAGCATCATCGAGGATCGCCTTATATTCCGAGTCCGCACATGAAGGATTGTCCCGAAGTCGTTGGAGCCAATACGACGTGTTTGACCATTTTTGTTGCAGCTCTCCACGAGTTGCACGGTAGATCAGTTTCCCACCGTGATAGATCGCCATATTCTGAGAGGACGACTTTGTGGAAACACGACCGATCTTGTGGATAAGGCCGGGAGGAGGACCACACGTTGCGAAACAGGCCTTGAAGTGATTCTCGTCAGATTTACGGACCTGGAACACCGCCCCCAATTCTTCGTTGAATAATGTAGATATCACATCCGGTGTGTTCGGTGTGGGACATATGTCGTTGATCATGATTTCTATACCGCAGCGACCAGCAAATGACATTTCTGCCAGTGTCACGAAGAGGCCGCCGTCAGAACGGTCGTGATATGCCAGCACAAGCCCTTGTTCATGAAGTTGTTGTGTTGCGTCGAAAAAGTCTTTGAGCAAGGAGACGGAGCGAATGTCGGGCGCTTCATCGCCAGTTTGTTTGAAAGATTGTGTGAGAGCGGACCCTCCCAAGGCGCGATGTGCGAGACCTAGATCCACGAAAAACAGAGTCGTTTCCCCCACTTCGTTGTATCTTTTTAGCTGCGGCGTCCACGTCTTCCTTATGTCCAGAACAGGGGCAAAGGCAGATATAACAACCGATAAGGGACTTGTGACTTCCTTTGCCTCCTTGGTTTGAGAATCTGTCCATTTCATCTTCATGGACATGGAATCTTTCCCAACCGGAATTGAGACGCCGAGTTTGGGGCACAAATCCATGCCCAATGCCTCCACAGCTTCATAAATCCCTGCACCTTCGCCCGGATGAGTGGACGCGGACATCCAGTTGGCGGACAGCTTGACCTGATGAAGGCGATCGGGTAGATCTGCAGCAGTCAAGTTCATCAGTGATTCAGCCACTGCCATACGTGCAGATGCTGCTGGTGAAATTAGTGCAATGGTTGGTTTCTCGCCCATTGCCATTGCCTCTCCACTCTTAATACCGGTGGTAAGTGATGTCGCTGTAACAGACACATCTGCCACAGGAACTTGCCAGGGGCCGACCATTTGATCTCTGGTTATGAGCCCACCAACTGTTCTGTCTCCTATTGTGATCAAGAAGGATTTGGATCCGACAGCTGGCATTTGGAGCACTCGATCAATTGCCTCCTGGAGCAAACCGTTCATTGACGCCTGCGGGACATACAGGCTCAAGCTGGTATCAAAGCCTGGTAATTCGGCTTTGCGTGAACTGGCATCACGGGTCATCTTGGGCGGTTTCCCGAAAAGAACCTCCATTGGGAGGTCGATAGGATCTTGTTGGCCATGGCCATCTGCGGGGTGATCGCGGTCTGTGAGCTTCAACACTTGCCGCCTCGTGGCTCTTCCCACAACAGAGATCCCACACCGTTCTCGTTTCGCAATGGCCCTGAATTTGTTCATACCCTCCTGTGCTACCGCAAGAACATACCGTTCTTGGGCTTCATTGCACCATATCTGGAGAGGGCTCATACTCTTGTCTGCACAGTCGATGTCTCGAAGCTCAAATTCTGCACCGAGACCAGAATCTTTGGCGAGTTCTGGTAACGCATTGGACAGACCTCCGGCACCGACATCGTGAATGAAGAGTATAGGGTTGTGTGAACCGAGCGCGGTACATGCATTAATGACTTCTTGCGCCCGTCGCTGCATTTCGGGGTTGCCTCGCTGAACACTAGCAAAATCCAGCTCGGCAGACCCTTCTCCAGAGCTGACACTCGATGCGGCCCCTCCTCCCAGGCCGATGAGCATGGCTGGCCCGCCCATGACAATCAGGAATGCTCCGTCTTTGACAATGTCGGGGTCCTTGAGAGCATGCTGAGGTCGAACAGTCCCGACGCCTCCTGCAATCATGATGGGCTTATGATAGCCTCTGATTTCTGTGGAGTCTTTGCCCGTTCTCATTTCCACCAGCAACGTCCTAAAATACCCAGCAGTGCATGGTCGACCGAATTCATTGTTGAAGGCAGCACTTCCAATGGGTGCTTCGAGCATTATGTCGAGACTGCTAGCGATGTGACTGGGTCTGCCATAGTCGAGTTCCCACGGTTGGCGGTGATCCGGTATCAGCAGATCAGACACACAGAATCCCGCGAGACCCGCTTTGGGTTTTGCTCCTCTTCCTGTTGCTCCTTCATCCCGGATCTCGCCCCCTGAACCAGTTGCCGCTCCCGGAAAGGGAGAAACAGCGGTAGGATGGTTATGAGTCTCGACCTTGATGAGGAACTCCACCGGTTCTTTCGTCGCTTTCCATTGGCCGTTGAGGTCGTCAGGCGCCCATTGACTCCCATTGCTGCCTTTGAGCACAGCTGCATTGTCGCTGTATGCACTGATGGTGCCTTCCGGAGTGTGTTTGTGCGTGTTTCTGATCATGCCAAACAGCGTGTTAGTCTTGGGTTTCCCATCAATGGTCCAGCTAGCATTGAAAATCTTGTGTCTGCAGTGCTCCGAGTTCACCTGAGCAAACATGAAGAGCTCAACGTCTGTAGGCTTTCTCGGGACGGGCCCGTCTTTCGAGTAGGCTTCGACGAGATACTGGATTTCTGAAGCGTCAAGAGCAAGTCCTAGCTTGCGATTCAAATCTTGAAGCATTTCTGAGGGACTCCGTCCACCGCTGTATAGGTCGTATGTACCCAACAGCCCAGGTTGATGGTGCATGAACAAGAGATTGAGATCTGGCTCGTTTTCCGAAATGGTCTCTGTCATCCGGTCATGCAGGAAGTCAAGGCTTGATCGGCCCAGAGACTGTCCATTTTCAAGGTATACCGTAATCCTGACACCTCGTTCGATTCGACGAACTACTTTTTGAAGTCCGCAAACATGAGCGATATTGGTGGCCTTTGAACTCCATGGAGAGATAGTGCCTGGTCGAGGTAGGACATAGAGAACAGTTGACGGTTCGTCTTCCTTTTCTTGGGCTTCTACATAGTTGCCATGAGTCAACAATTTTTCCAGTAGAGCATGGCTCTCAGAATCAAGTGATTCCACAAGTTCCACATAGTGCATGTACTGTCCTTGAACGTCACGGGCTCCCACGTTGGCGGCTAGAGCCTGACGTCGAAATTCGGAAAAGGCTGACGCTCCAGGGATGATACAGACCTGCGAATGATCCATGGTTGACAAGTGACACTCAGAGGCTAGACGATCCTAATATGTAGCATGATCACTGTCACAAGGAGGGTCGCAATACCACAGTTAAGGCCCGATAAATGTAAGAGGATACGATGATCCCAGCAATAGAAGCAAGATGTCGAGTCTTGTATGCAGGTTGGTTGAGGGAAGGATCAGACGGTCATCCGAGGCCAGCCGAAAGCAAATGGTAGATCGAACAATCACGAAACAATCGTCATGGTGGTTCCATGTTCACGGCCTGATCATATAGCTCTCGTCCAACTCGTGATTATCCATTGTGGCTGATGTGTGGTTGTGAGGAAGTTTGAAAACTCTGCGGTCACGGCGGCTTGGCGTCAACGACGTTGGGTCCCGGCTCAGCGGAGGGAGTACGTAGGTGGTTATGGTTAAGACGCAGCGCGGCTCGGGCGGCACTGGGGGTTTCTCCTGGAGTGTGGCACCCCTAGCTGGTGCTCATCGGACTCCCTCGAGGCTGGTAACTTCCCCAGAAATCAGCCTCCCCCTTTATGCTCCCCTCTCCTGCGGTCCTTCTCGGTGGTGATACCTCGCTTGTCAGTCTTGGTCCAATACTGGCTTGCGAACAACGTCGCCAGATCAAATCTGGTATTATCCGTCATCCACCCTTCTCACTCACACCCAACTACTCCAATTTGTAGGCCGCCAACTTGAGATTTTCCCTTCGCTATCATTTCCCAAAGCTACTGCATCATTTGACAAAGTCCATTTAGGTCATCCCCGCCGTTGGCTGCCCTCACATGGGACAGTGTTTCCTGATCCGCTTTTCTCGTGATCGGTTCTCCGGTTCAATGCCACTGTCATCATCGCCATTAGTTGACCAGTGACCGAGTCTGTCGGCTTGCCGTCTGATCGTTGAGCCCGACACCTCGATTCATACCCGTCTCTCGACTGCGCACCTGACCCACATACCGAAAAACCTCGAGGTCTTTCTCAGTTGGACACGAGGTATCTCAAGCTCCACCAATATCCCCTTTGAAAGGTCGGGGCCAGTCGTTCAGACTGCCCTTTTCCCGCCGACACCATTCCTTCTCCTCGCCCATCTACCGAATCTTTCCTCCACCACCGATCGCATTCGTCTCGCTCCAAAGCAGACCTGGAAGACCCCTCGTCCACATTGCGAACTTCCACAGGAAACGAAAAAGACGAAAGCATTCGGCGACCATCGTACTCGGGGTCTGACTCGGACGATTTCTCCCTTTGGAGTGACACTGGAGATCTCGCAGAGCAGCTTACCAACAGCGAGGACCCCTATCAGATCGAACTAGATCCTCTGACCCGGCAAGGCCAGAGGCTCAGAGACTCGGGTCGTGGTCACGGTGGAGGACGGAAGAAGAGAGTCGGATTTCGAGAACAAGATCACCTTGAGCGGGATCACGCCCCTCTCGCTATAGATAAAGAGGCTATCTTAATACCGGAGCCTCCACCGAGGCAGATCTCCAAGGCAGAAAGAATATTAGCTCTCATCATGGCTCCCACAGATACCCAGACCGCCCGAGCAAAGGGCCTCGTGGGAAAGCCGTTATTGTATGGCCGAGCCCATCTCCCAGGAGCGTCTACAGGTGGCTGACAGCTGAATGCAGGTACTTCACAAGCGTTTTCGTATCACTGGGTGTATTTCTTTTTGGCTACGACCAAGGCGTTATGTCTGGCATTATCACGTACGTCCATTCGGAGTGTCCCAACCACAATTGCTGACCGGGATAAGTGGTCCCTTTTTTAGAGACGCATTCAATCAGCCTGGCCCAGCCGAGGTTGGCACTATGGTGGCTATTCTCGAGGTTGGTGCTCTTATATCATCTCTGTGCGTTGGACGCATTGGCGACATCGTTGGTCGTCGGAGGACAATTCTTTATGGGTCCATGATATTCTTTGTCGGCGGAATGCTCCAAACCTTCGCGAATGGCATGCCCATGATGATGGTAGGGAGACTTATCGCGGGTTTCGGCGTTGGTGCACTCTCGACCATTGTACCTGTTTATCAATCCGAGATCAGTCCTCCACACAATAGAGGCAAGTTGGCCTGTATAGAGTTCACGGGTAATATTACGGGTTACGCGGCAAGTGTTTGGGTCGACTACTTCTGCAGCTTTATCCAGAGCGACCTCTCATGGAGGATACCTTTATTGATGCAATGCGTCATGGGTGCACTTCTCGGATTCGGTAGCCTGATCATCTGCGAATCCCCCAGGTACGTAAATCCGAACAAGAGGCATCATGGTTGACGCTCGCTAACGTCTCTCCTTGCAGATGGCTACTGGACAACGACCACGACGAGGAGGGGATCATTGTCATCGCCAATCTCTATGGCAAAGGCGACATTCATAACGCAAAGGCTCGACAAGAATATCGCGAAATCAAAATGAACGTTCTGTTGCAACGTCAAGAAGGAGAACGATCATACTCGGACATGTTTAAGCGCTATTATAAGCGTGTTTTTATTGCGATGTCGGCCCAGGCATTTGCGCAATTGAACGGGATCAATGTGATCTCATACTACGCCCCCCTAGTCTTTGAGTCGGCAGGCTGGGTGGGACGAGACGCCATCCTCATGACTGGCATCAATGCGTTCACCTACCTAGGATCAACAATTCCACCGTGGTATCTGGTTGATAAATGGGGCCGACGGCCTATCCTCTTGTCTGGGGCGGTGGCTATGATCATCTCGTTGTCGCTCATCTCCTACTTCATCTTCATCGACATACGGTGGACCCCAACACTGGTAGTGATATTTGTCATGATTTACAACGCAGCATTCGGAGCCAGTTGGGGCCCTATACCGTGGCTATATCCTCCTGAAATTCTGCCACTCAGCATCCGGGCAAAAGGCGCCAGCTTGAGTACGGCCAGCAACTGGGCATTCAACTTTTTGGTGGGCGAACTTACACCTATCCTGCAAAAATCAATCAAGTGGAGGTTATATCTCGTCCACGCCTTCTTCTGCGCACTCAGTTTCGTTCTCGGTGAGTCTGTCTGTCCTAGTAGGTATGTTGTAGTTCCTAACCACGAACGCAGTCTATTTTGTGTACCCTGAAACAGCCAATGTTCGCCTTGAAGACATGAACGCATTGTTTGGGGATGCCACAACGGCCATGCCGACTCCCTCGACCCAAGCAGAACGCGGTTCTCTGATGGGCGTGGGATCCCCATCCTCTATCGACATCAGACACGGTGGTCCTCCACCTGGTGTCTTTTCCGCAGATGCTGCAATTCCTGGTCTCGACATAGACCCCCCCGATATCCAACTAGACGCAAACGGACGGCCACGAGGTCGAAGCCAGAGCAACCAAGAAGGTTTGGGTGGTTGGATTGGTCGTATGGTGTCCAGGACACGACAAGACAGCGGTGGCCGCGGACAATACGGGAAGATCGGCCAAGACGAGGATTGAAGTCACAATCTTTGGATTTCAAGTGTCATTATTTTCTCAACTTACACTTACTGGCTGTATAGATATAGAACTGCAACGCGCCACCGCTGTCGCGGATGAATGAAATGGGGTCGTACGCCACTGCATCTGGGGTGTTCAAAAGCCGTCTGCTTGGGTCTGGGACTCTGCACTGAAGGCTGGGAGAAATCATATCGAGCTGTTATGGACATGTACTGGTTATGTACTCGGTCCACTGGATCGCGCTGGAAATGAATGCTGCATTAATAATTTCCCGGCCACCCGCATTGTACGCCGTTGCCATTGTTATAAGCGGAAACTGTGTGAAGTCGGAATGGAGGAGGATGACTAAGATGAGATACATTACGCAGGACGAGATGAACAAAACCCAAGTGGATGCAGGGAGAGGCTCCTAGTATGAAAGGAGAGGGTCATCAGGCTGCGTCAATAGGACCTGACAGGGTCGCGTGGGATGAGGCGAGAAAGGAGCAAGCCTAGCAAGTACGGTATGCCCCGATCTGCCCTGTGTGGCCGCTGGTGGCCGCTGTGGCGCACGCCCAGGTGAGCCTACGAGCCAAAACCAGAACCGGCAGGATCAACCAAGGCTTTGTTCTGGCTCCCCGACTTCGCCTCGCGCCGTCCATTGCCCACGATGCCTTACGGCCTTTTGGCGTCAATCATTCCCCCCATTGACCACCTCCATCAACTCGTGCCTCTGACCCAACTGCTACATGACTGTTTCTCAAGGAAATTGTCCACCACGAATACAGACAACCAAACTGTCGCAGCATTTGGCACTTCAAGAGATCACAGTCCTGCTGCTCCCTTGGCAGAGACATTCCAACACTCACTTACCGTGTTGTGCCCCTCTATCCTCACATTCCCGATTCAGTGACTATTCACTGGTTCGCATTCGCCCAACCTGCGCTTGCGAAATCGAACTGGCCAACTGCGACTATCGCTCAGACTTCTCATCCTACTTTTCTTCCCGCCTGCTCCCTTGTTCAAATACGTCCTGAACAGCCCTCCGTCGCAACAACTGTTGACCGCTTGACCCGCCGAAAACACCAATCGCGCAGATTAAATCCTCGCTGCCCTCATTCGCGTCCATCCGCCAGATCGGTCAGCTCCCCTCCGATTTCCTTCTATGAAAGTTAAATCACCGCAAACAGGCGCCGTGCCCGCGATACAAACCAAGAGACCTGGTCGCTACTCGACTTCGGATATGTGATGCTACAGTTTTATGAGCCGTCGATGTGTCCAGCTTTTCTTCGTCAGAGCTGGTCACCTTGACGAACTCATCACAAACTGTGATGGAAAGATAACCGTTGCTCCTTGCCTTTTGCGACAAAATGTCCCAAGGCACGACCAAGAGATCTCCGGAATCGACAGACTTGTTGCCTAGAGGCAAGCAAGTCCCTTCACATATCCTTGCTCAATTGGATGAGCGTTTCAAGTACCTCACCGACACCATTCTCCCTCCACATCCCTACCTACTTTCTGTTCCCTCCGACGTGCCCTATCGTCACAGCTCGCGCTTCGTCAATACGTGGTACGAGGGCACCCCGTTCAATCGTAAAG